GTCTGGAGGGGTTTTTGGGGGGGTCCCGACCCTCACCCGCCTTGGAGATCCACTCCATGTATCCGTTGAGCTCCCGCTCGATTTGCTGCTGCCGCCGCAGCTTCAGGAACGCCCGGCGGTTCTCCACCCGCTCCCGCTCTTTGGCAAACTCCCTGTCTGGAGGGGTTTTTGGGGGGGTCCCGACCCTCACCCGCCTTGGAGATCCACTCCATGTATCCGTTGAGCTCCCGCTCGATTTGCTGCTGCCGCCGCAGCTTCAGGAACGCCCGGCGGTTCTCCACCCGCTCCCGCTCTTTGGCAAACTCCCTGCGGACCCCTCCCCAAATTCAGCTCGGCCCGGGCGGACGGCACCGGGCAGCACCGGACGGCACCAGGGGGGCACCGGGGGGGCACGGGATGGCACTGGGAGGGCATCGGGCAGCACCGGACGGCACCGGGCAGCACCGGACGGCACCAGGGGGGCACCGGGGGGGCACGGGATGGCACTGGGAGGGCATCGGGCAGCACCGGACGGCACCGAACGGCACCGGACGGCACCGGGCAGCACCGGACGGCACCAGGGGGGCACCGGGGGGGCACGGGATGGCACTGGGAGGGCATCGGGCAGCACCGGACGGCACCGGGCAGCACCGGACGGCACCAGGGGGGCACCGGGGGGGCACGGGATGGCACTGGGAGGGCATCGGGCAGCACCGGACGGCACCGAACGGCACCGGACGGCACCGGGCAGCACCGGACGGCACCAGGGGGGCACCGGGGGGGCACGGGATGGCACTGGGAGGGCATCGGGCAGCACCGGACGGCACCGGGCAGCACCGGACGGCACCAGGGGGGCACCGGGGGGGCACGGGATGGCACTGGGAGGGCATCGGGCAGCACCGGACGGCACCGAACGGCACCGGACGGCACCGGGCAGCACCGGACGGCACCAGGGGGGCACCGGGGGGGCACGGGATGGCACTGGGAGGGCATCGGGCAGCACCGGACGGCACCGGGCAGCACCGGACGGCACCAGGGGGGCACCGGGGGGGCACGGGATGGCACTGGGAGGGCATCGGGCAGCACCGGACGGCACCGAACGGCACCGGACGGCACCGGGCAGCACCGGACGGCACCAGGGGGGCACCGGGGGGGCACGGGATGGCACTGGGAGGGCATCGGGCAGCACCGGACGGCACCGGGCAGCACCGGACGGCACCAGGGGGGCACCGGGGGGGCACGGGATGGCACTGGGAGGGCATCGGGCAGCACCGGACGGCACCGAACGGCACCGGACGGCACCGGGCAGCACCGGACGGCACCAGGGGGGCACCGGGGGGGCACGGGATGGCACTGGGAGGGCATCGGGCAGCACCGGACGGCACCGGGCAGCACCGGACGGCACCAGGGGGGCACCGGGGGGGCACGGGATGGCACTGGGAGGGCATCGGGCAGCACCGGACGGCACCGAACGGCACCGGACGGCACCGGGCAGCACCGGACGGCACCAGGGGGGCACCGGGGGGGCACGGGATGGCACTGGGAGGGCATCGGGCAGCACCGGACGGCACCGGGCAGCACCGGACGGCACCAGGGGGGCACCGGGGGGGCACGGGATGGCACTGGGAGGGCATCGGGCAGCACCGGACGGCACCGAACGGCACCGGACGGCACCGGGCAGCACCGGACGGCACCAGGGGGGCACCGGGGGGGCACGGGATGGCACTGGGAGGGCATCGGGCAGCACCGGACGGCACCGGGCAGCACCGGACGGCACCAGGGGGGCACCGGGGGGGCACGGGATGGCACTGGGAGGGCATCGGGCAGCACCGGACGGCACCGAACGGCACCGGACGGCACCGGGCAGCACCGGACGGCACCAGGGGGGCACCGGGGGGGCACGGGATGGCACTGGGAGGGCATCGGGCAGCACCGGACGGCACCGGGCAGCACCGGACGGCACCAGGGGGGCACCGGGGGGGCACGGGATGGCACTGGGAGGGCATCGGGCAGCACCGGACGGCACCGAACGGCACCGGACGGCACCGGGCAGCACCGGACGGCACCAGGGGGGCACCGGGGGGGCACGGGATGGCACTGGGAGGGCATCGGGCAGCACCGGACGGCACCGGGCAGCACCGGACGGCACCAGGGGGGCACCGGGGGGGCACGGGATGGCACTGGGAGGGCATCGGGCAGCACCGGACGGCACCGAACGGCACCGGACGGCACCGGGCAGCACCGGACGGCACCAGGGGGGCACCGGGGGGGCACGGGATGGCACTGGGAGGGCATCGGGCAGCACCGGACGGCACCGGGCAGCACCGGACGGCACCAGGGGGGCACCGGGGGGGCACGGGATGGCACTGGGAGGGCATCGGGCAGCACCGGACGGCACCGGGCAGCACCGGGCAGCACCGGACGGCACCGGGGGGGCACCGGACGGCACCGGGCAGCACCGGGCAGCACCGGACGGCACCGGGGGGGCACCGGACGGCACCGGGCAGCACCGGGCAGCACCGGACGGCACCGGGGCAGCACCGAACGGCACCGGGCAGCACCGGGGCAGCAGCGGACGGCACCGGGGGGGCACCGGGCAGCACCGGACGGCACCGGGGGGGCACAGAACGGCACCGGGCAGCACCGGACAGCACCGAACGGCACCGGGCAGCACTGGGGCAGCACCGGACGGCACCGGACGGCACCGGGGCAGCACCGGGCAGCACCGGGGGGGCACCGAACGGCACCGGGGCAGCACCGGACGGCACCGGGGGGGCACCGGGCGGGCACCGAACAGCACCGGACGGCACCGGGGGGGCACCGGGCGGGCAGCGGGCCCCGCTCACATAGTAGAGGAGGTCGGTCCAGCCTTCCATGGTGATGCACTGGAAGACGGTGAGCACGGCGAAGAGGATGTTGTCGAACTGCGTGATGCCGTAGTTGGGCCCCTCCCAGTACTTCTTGCACTTGGTGCCGTTGGGGCAGATCCGCGCCGGCTCGTCCGTCCCGCACGGGACCTCCACCTTGATCTCGTCTGGGGAGGGGGGATTGGGGTGTGAGACCCCCCCCCCGGGGCACCTGAACCACCC